ATCATGTTTAAAACAACTAATTTGAAAAATTGTGTACGACATGTTTATATAATTCTTTTGTCTTGTGAGATGCAATTTATATGTGCTGTACCATATAAACTATTACATGTACTTGACTTTGATTATATGAAAAGCGATGCAACATAGTTCTAAGGGAAGAAATTGTCCTGAGTGGGTTTTTAAGACCAAATTGACTTTAAAAGAATTCTCTACATTTCTGACACTGGATTTTATGCATAAAACAGTCTGAATACTAAATAGCTTGCATCTATCTACATGTATATGAATAGCAACATTCCAATATAACAAGCTAAATATCAAATTGCTATTTCGATCTTCAAAGGATATGTACTCTTAAAAAATACCCATGATTGCTCAATAAAAGTTGCTTATGATCATTTGTAGGAACTATTGACAAATATTGTTGAGCAAGCCTTCTACTCATAAAGCAGCATGCACCACTTCAATGTTAAGGCACTTCACTCACAAATCAATGGTTATCACTGGTATTATGTTAGTTTTCTACTTGTTTAAATAAATCACAATTTTATCCATTGAGTAATTTGTCATTGTTGGCCTTTTGAAAATTTTGTAATCAATGACGAGCTTCCTGCATGCTGAAGTAAGTTCCTGTGGTGTGCTAATTTGCAACTTGTCAGGGAAAAAATGAAGTCTAAACTGATAGCTAAACTTTTTCATGAATTGTTTGATTAAAAATTCTACTAAATAATATTAATATAATTATAAATATAATTTGAAAACAACTTCTTGGATAACGACCAAATAATGAAATACATGTATGTTATTCACTTTGATCTAATGGATAAAGATTAAAATCCTGGGCCCCACACTTAATCCGAAATTCCACTGACAATTTCTACTGACCTTAAGTTTTCATATGGTCATTTTAGGGGGAGCAAAACATCTAATACAAAAAAGGGAGGCATTAGAGTCAGAAAAATCTTGGATTATACCAGCAAATGCATTTTTTTTGGTCTTATACATGTACAAATTTTAGCTATATTTAATTAATTTCAGCTTCAACTTGTTGAATGAAGAGCAGACAAACTGACAAATCAATTAGACCTATTATATATCCTTGTAAAGTGTAAGGAAGAAAATTTAGGAATCCAGGTTTTTTGACTCCCGTTAAATGTCCAGCAGTGGTATAAATATTAATACCCTATCTAACTGGGATCCATGGACCATTTAAAAGCTGATAGCTTCCTAACAGTGTTTATTTAATTCCTATGTGGTAAAGCCATTTGAAAACTTAATATATCTGTCATTGAAATGCATCCATCAATCATCTTAAAGATTTCAGATTGAAGTTTATTGTTGAAATCATTTCTCACTTTCAAACGGATATTTGCATGCTGTTCCACTAAATAGAAAAATTTCAGATATTAAGCCTGCATATAAGAATTTGGAATATTGAAGTTTTAATAATCTCCAACATTATGCCAATATGTATGGATAAACCATCAATTTTCCTTCATTAGTGTTGAATAGAAATGTCATAAATATCTTCAAAATATCACTAAATGATCACTGCTTTGTATGTAAAACAAATTAAGGTCAAATTATTTCCACAATCTTTGAGATCATAAAAAAGTAAACTGGGTCTTTAATTTCTCTTTTGGATTAAAAGATATAAATCTACATTGAAAAAGTTAACAAGGTAAAAACAATTTTTGTCCAACGAAAATATCTTCATTCTGGTACAGTATGGTTCTTCTTCTTTCCAGCTGACAAGTAAATTACGGTAATTTCTCTTCCCGTGTCAAATCTTATCAGCTTTCCAATAAACCATTCAGATGAAGGCAGAAATTGTTTTAATTATTCATCAAAGAATAAACAGAGAATGTCCTATAACAAGTATTAATTCAGGTGTCTTTTGTCATATTTTTAACCAGAGCTACAAATACCATTTTATATAAAGATCCTGCTTGGCATTATCCAACACCACCGTCCTCCCCCCCCCCCCCCGCGCTGAAAAAATAATCATCTTTAATTATTTTTTTTTCTGTAGAGGAATTTCCCAAGCCACTTTATTTGACATTTTCAGATTTAAAGATTATCCAGAATTAATCTGTCTAAAAAGCCATGAAAAAGAAAGGATAATTATATGACAAAATTTACTTAGCAAATTAAAATGGCATATTCTTTTCTTATGTAACCTAAACGAAATAGACTAACAATATATCACACTCCCTCCGCCGTAAATAGTTAACTCTGACAACGTTTTTAAAAGTGATAAGAGGAGATCAAAAGCCCTAGCCATTGTTCTGTCCAATAAAATAAGCCCTAATACTTACATTTAAACCTTTTGTGATCTAAAACGGCTTAATCTCTCATCAAGCATTAAGTCTTTTTAAAATTGTTTTTACAATGGAAACCTAATCTAGCTGGTATTACCATATGGAGTTTGGGTGACAAGAGAAATAAAATAATGTTTTAATTTATTTATTTGGACACTCACTTTTCGCCTAAGATTCTT